ACATTACCTTGTCTTTTCATTGTCTTGGCAATAATTGCAAACTTCCTGGGGCAAATCATTCACATGGGACTTAAAACCCTCATTTAATATTATAAAATAATATACACATTATAAATGTACAAATTTATAAAGATCTGATTCATGAAATAAACTATTCTGGTACTTCTGGAAATCCAAAGCACCCTGATGTTACCTGTGCCTCTAGAAAAAGAATAAATTTATCAAAAAACAGCTATGTCTGCTTCAGAATATTCCTACAGAGAAAACCACCGATTATGCAAGCACTTCTTTATTCTTGACTTTTTGGTCAAAGTCAGACAGTTTTCACATTCCTTACATTCTCAGAGACAAGATAAAATATTCCTCAACCAAAAGTTGCAAAAGCTAAAAACACATTGCAATCAAATAAACAACTGTACATATTGGGAGGTGGAGCAATTTTTAAACCGCACTGCTACTCACAGTAATCCTAAAACATTCTCATTTGGTTTCAAAGAAATACCAATGCTTACTTTCCTGACCTTTGCAACCTTCTCAAATAGAAAATTTTGAAAAAATGATTCTTAATTAAAATAGCTTTCATACTTTTAAAATACCGTATTGGTGTTGCTCTCAGAAACGTTTATTTTTCATTTGGCTATAGTGTCATCCTATAATCCATTAACTTGACAATTATCCTCCCATCTCAGGCTTAGAGGACAAAATCCCAAATGCCTCAGGATGACCTAGTAACACCATGAGGGAACAAGTTTGAAAATGGCACTGCCAATTCCACTCTTCAGCTTGCTCTGCCTCTAAAAAAAAATATCAATCAACACCTTGACTATGATCCAAGTAGTTAGACATGCTGGGAAAGAACACATCTTTGGGGAAAGAAGTGAGGAGGTTCACAAGAAAAGAACCACAGGGCAGATAAACCTTATTAGCCACACCCATAAGTATGAAAAATCCCTAAACGTTTCTGCCTAGGGTATAACGGCTGCCTGAATGATAACAATTTGATTTTAACTAGGCAAAATGAAACCATCATCTTTTCAGAGGAGTGGACACAATATTTTCCCAATGATATATTCGTCTCCTAAAAGTTCCCAGGATTCAGAGTCAAAAAGCAGCAAATTGTTGGCTTGATATCCAGAGAATGCCGGGTAAAAAGAAAGAGCTGTTTACACCATGAATGTGCTTACATCAGAATGTCCATGTCAACTGATTTTAGAAGAGAATGAAGGAAGAATGTATCTTGCACGTTTCTGTTAGATCACATTCCATGGGTATAATTCACTGCACTTCCAACCAAGCTCCATGAATCAGAACACAGCACTTCAACCATCATAAAAGTTTTGAAAGTCTCCGTTACCTTTGAAAATCGAGCATTAATCCATTTGGTGAAAGTTTTCTTCTGCACGTCATTGTGTTCATCTGTGAGAGGGAAAAAGGGAGAGAAAAATATGAGATAGTGCACCTTTAGTAAGGGCGCTAAATAAGATCGTTCTCCATCCTGGAGAGTTTTAAATAGTCCTGTTAGAAGAGTTCTGGGGGCACAATGATCCACAGCTTAGGGAAGGCTGTGATGGCTGACGAGGTCAGCATTTGTGGGGCCTGAGAACGCCTGGAGCAGAGGGAGTCTCAGGTACCTTTCCCAAAGGAGCTGGCTCTTCACCCTAAGCGATGATCCACTGCCAGCAGCCATGAAACCCACCTTTGTGGGACAGAATCAGGACCTCACTTTTGAGCTAGCACATGCAATACAGAGTCACATTTGGTTTAAGTAAAATTTCTGCATGATAAAAATGTTAGCATGTTAATCAAAAAATTCATGATTTCCCTCCTTTTCATATAAATCCTATACCTCCCAGAGCAAAACTAGTATGAGGTTTAGTATAAGTATAGTATAAGGTTTAGAGTCCATTAACCTGTTTTCCTGTAGTAAGACTGACATGGCAAGGTTTTAATGATCTTGTTCTATAAAAACGACCTACACATTTTACAAATAGAGAAATCAGTCATTTTTTTTTAAATGATCAACTCTGGTTTTGATTACAAATTCATTTTCCAAGGCACAACACATGAAAATTGACTTTAAAAAACTAAAGCATCCTGAACTTCTTGAAGACGGGCAGTTATCCAGTTGGTTATAAGGAGACTGGGTGATACAACTGAGAGAGCAAAGGACTTTCGAAGCACACGGACCACATCCCGATCCACTTATCCTGTGGCCTTGGAAAGTCGTCACAACGTCTCCTTGCCTTAGAGTTCTCATCTGTAAAACGCGAATAAATAGCACCCAGCTTGTCAGGCCACTGTGAGGACTAGTGAACATCAGTAGCAAATACTCAGCAAAGAGCTGGTGTTCAGTTGTTCTTGTTCTTGTTATAATTACTATAATATACATGTACACAGGGCAGATAAACATCTTGTCAGGCCACTGTGAGGACTAGTGAACATCAGTAGCAAATACTCGGCAAAGAGCTGGTGTTCAGTTGTTCTTGTTCTTGTTATAATTACTATAATATACATGTACACAGGGCAGATAAACATCCATTTTACCCTTTCTATTACTGCTAATCATATCCTCTTCAACTGCTTTCCAGCTCTCTATTACAACCAGCAGGATGCGCTGGCTTAAATCCTACAAAGCAGCATGTGAACAATCTCTAAGTGGTCCTGAAAGCTGCTAAGGAGTGTTTGGAACAGTGCAGAAAGCTGTGGTTTTCTGTATATATGCCCTGTCTACACTGCCAGGCTGCCTCCCGCATGCCAACAGGGAAATAATAAATAACACAGAAGGCCCAACAGTGCTCTGTCCTCCAAGCGTCCATCTGAAGGCGCCGCCTTCCACACAGACCTCACTCATCTCCAACAGCTTAATTGGAAGTTCACCCTCTATGTCACTACGTCTGTGGTATCTTTGGTCCTTACTCTCCTCTGGAAGGAGAGTTTGTCATTAAACGGCCCTTCCTGGAACAAATATAGCAGCAGCTTCAGAAAAGAGTGCACTTCTACAGATCCATAAAGGTATTTGGAAATTGACGCCAAGACACAAAGGGGGCAATTGGATGAAAAACAAAACTGCTCTCTAAGAAACTGTTTGATGTGAATTGTGCTGAGAGGAGGCCTTCCTTCCAGAAAGGACAACGTAGTCAGCATCAGCCCCGATTTCAGGCTTTCTGCCATCTGATCAATGCCACATATAACCCATTTCTTAACCAAGAGGACTTGCTTGCGCACTCTGAATGTCCCAACCTTAACCATCACACCCAAGAGGGACAGACCTGAGATTACACACAGAATATAAGGCAGCCAGACACCAACCTGCAGACAGCACTACACCGTATGAATTCCATGTTGAATATTAGTGTTTGGAGAAATTGCAAAATCTAATTGTTAGTCCCACTACCTGACAAGGATTTATTTTTATAAATTTTACCATATCTGTGATTCTTTAGTGCTATGAACAAAAATATATATAATGGTCATAAGTTCTCTAAATTTCATAATAACCTTCATACAACTTAAGAATGCTTGACCATAAAAAAAACAGGGAAATTTGTAAGGAATACATATTACTTTTTTTTTCCTTAACCTCTTTTCTAGGCATTTAGCCTTCTTATTTTCAAAAACATATTAAATTATCTAATACTATACAGGTTCCTCTCCAGGTATACAGTGGACAAAAAAATGAGTGCCCGTCGCCTTATCAAATGATAAATAAGATCTTTTAATTTTATCACATAAAGAGTGAAATCAAATTTCAAAAATAGATTCCTACCATACAGAGATGTTTATAAAAATTAATAAGGTAATGTTTCTACAATGGTCTTTGATCTTTGGGCCTAATCAAAGTCTGAATATGAGCCTAAGCTACGGATATGAAAAAAATATTTGTAAAACGTAAATTATTTAACACAAACATTTCAAAAATACTCCAAAATTCATATAAAACTCTTTTATATTCATTTTCCTGATACAGTTAAAAGAAGGAAGAAAAGGGTTCATATTTCAATAAGCGCGTGTGCGCGCGCGCACACACACACCCCTCTTATTTTCACCCGACAGGAATTCGGTAAAATAGGAATTAGCCTGCAGCTTTTCAATTATGAGATTAAAAATGTAACAAATTTGGAACACTTACTAGTATAGAACCGCCTTCCCCACCACAAGAATTAAAGTGTCAACCTTGGCCCAGGTCTCTGTATCAGAGAGGTAAAAAGATGCTGCCAAAGTGGTAGCAAGACAACCAAAAATCTAAGTCATGTTATTCTGATCAATCATTTTGCCTCCCCAGAAATTAATACAGAATTTCAAGTCTCAAATTTGTTCAACTCTCCATTATCAAGACGTTAATTATTTTAATTTCTCCAAAACAAAAATGCGTGCACAGACAACACAAACTTACACATAGCTATTTATATATGTATTAAATGAATGAATATAATTTATGCTCTAAATATATTCTTTCAGGTTTCCAAATGTGTTTTTTTTTTTAGATGTGGATTTTTGAAAAACATGTAGTTTTGAAAGCCCTTCCTGGCTTAGTAAATCTTACCCATTTAACGACCTTTTTCCATTATGGGGACAAACACGAGACTGAATTAGGAGAAGAAAAATGTGTTAAATCCCTTAAGGCTGATTTTACAAATTCTTCCTCTAAATATTTTGCTCTTCTTAAAATGCTTTTGACATGCTCATGCAGATCCAAGGGCCTTGGCTGCTGCCTCGCCTGGAATTTTATTTCTGTGATGGGTGAAAGAAATGAAGCAAAAAACATCAACCAAACTGCCTGATAAATCTTCAAGGAAACGAGTTTGAAATTTTTTTTTCACTTCACCAGCTCAAAGGCATATCAAAAATTCCTTTAGCAGAACTTAGCCACAAACCTGTTTAAATTTTAAACTGGAAATGTGGCAGAGAAGTTAGCAGCTTTTGCCCTATGGAAACACACAGTTCTCAGGTACACGTACAACGCCATTAAAACTCTACCATTAGAGAGAACGCAGGACCCTCTAACATTTTCAAAGCAATTGAAGAGTGTCCAGTTTGCTGGCAATAACCTGAGTTCCATATAATCAGAAAAGAAGTCCCTAGACTTTTGACCAAAAAAGAAATGTCCTGTTGGATGATTTCACAAACTTGGATTGACTTTAAAATTCAAGCCACTTTCACGAAATGTAATACTAAAACTTAGAACGCCAGTTTCTCATTAGCAAAAGAGATGATTTTGGAAGCAAGGAAAGCATTTCAGACCATACTCCCACTTCTGTTTCTAAGTACTGATTGAATCAACCCCAAAATAAATCTACTATGAAAGCTTAGACATTCATGCTCCTCCCTTATCTTCTCAGACACAATTTTTTTGGTCTCTGACAAACACCAATTTATTTATTCAAACAATATGTATTAAAGTATCATATGCAAACATAAATATTATGTAATGATCTATAAAATATTACAAATATATAGACAAAGAAACAGAGACAAGAGGAAACAGATCACTCGCAAGCAGAGAGCTTAAACTCGGGTGTTTGTTTCAAAACCTGACATCCTCAGAGGACCTGGGGGAAAACATAAAAATTAAAAATGTGCTTTGCAAAACTGTCAAAACTACCTACATGTATAACAAGTTGAGATAATTACCATTTCAAATGACATTTTTGTAAGTTTATCGTATTTATACTTTGAAGCTATTAAAGCTAAAAACTGCATTTAAAACGGCAGTTTTAAACGCTTCACTCTTTACAAAGGAAAGCACAAGTTGATGGTCTCTTTGGGAGCCGTGGAGATGGATGGAGTGAGAAAGAACTGCACTTTTCAAATGAGAAGCTGAGACCCAGGAACAAACGTTAAATGAATCACCCTGGTGCCCATCAACAAATAGCAGAGTCATAAACAAAATCTGGCTAGCATGACTCATCAACTCTGCTCCAAAACTCATTAAAATTATGGAGCCCTTGGGTCCCAGAAAGTCCAGAGCCCCATCTTGACTGAATACAGAATTTCCATCATTTTTATCACTGGAGGAAAATGTATGTCCCAGCTGAGAACCAACCTAATCCACCCAAACCGCCCCCCTTACTATCACAGAATCCCAGTGTGTAAGATATAAGAGCACCTGATCCAACCCCACCGGGGACCAGAAATGTCAGAAGCTTATCCCGTGCCATGCAGTCAGTCGATGCTGTAACTCAAGTCAGGATACCTGTCTCCTTACCTAATACTCCTCTTACTCTCAAGATGACCTGTTTTCCTAATATCTGTATTTAGATATGAGTCACAAACCATATAATTCAGCCATTTAAAGTTTGTTGGGTATATTATATTAATAATTTTTTAAATTGTGATAAAGTATATGTAACATAAAATTTGTCACTATAACTACACCAAAATGTATGATTCAGTGGCATTAATCACATCCACAGTAT